GAGAGGAGGACAGTGTAGAGTTGAATTGGTTCACCAAGGGGTCAGATGGGGAAAAGAGGAGAGAGTGGCTAGTGCAGTGAGATAGTCTGAAAGAGAATTGAGGGGTCAAGGGATTAGAGGTCACAGCAAAGAGAAAAGGCAGGGTTTTGTAAGGGAAAGCAGAGGGAGAGGTGAAAAGCCAATAGGTTATGGTCCAATAAGGGGTTTTGGAATTCTTGAATTTGGAGGTGGTACATTTGTGGGTGGTGGATTGGAGGAATAGGTCATGGGAAGTAAGGAGGTGAAGGAATTGAGTGACTCGGGTGTTTGAGGGAGGGTCAGTATGTATGTTGCCCCTTATTATGAGGGCAGGAGTTGGGGAAGAGAGAAAGACTGTGAACCAGATACTAAACTCATTGAGGAAGGAAGGAGAATGACCTGGGAATATGTAGACAACAGTTATCAGGATGACTTGCTTAAGTTCTCTCTCTCTCTCTCTCTCTCTCTCTCTCTCTCTCTCTCTGTCTCTTTGACTAGGCAATGGGGTTAAGTGACTTGCCCAAGGTCACACACCTAGTAAGTGTCAAGTATCTGAGGTCGCATTTTAACTCAGATCCTCCTGATTCCAGGGTCAGTGCTCTATCCACTATGCCACCTAGCTGCCCCTTAAGTTGGTTCTCTTGACAAGCTTTTCTTAAACTGGTTTTGCCAGTTCCTGTTTCTCTCTGCTTTATGAGGTGATTCACCTTGGAATCACCCATCACTCTTATTTGAAAGATTTTACAAATAAGTTTATATTCTAAACTAGTGTTGAATTTGGTTGCTATCTCTCTCTACAAGGCACTTATGTGTTTGCTAAGGTTCTTTATAAACTCTTTTGCTCTTTTCTCATTATGGCAATTGATTTTTATCAATTAAAATTCTGTATAAAATTATTATATAATTGCTTTCTATTGTCTGTTACCTATTTTCTGTTATCAGTAATTTATTTAAATAGGATGGGATTGAGTTATTTCAGTTGTATGCCATGTCTTTTTCTCCTTTTTATTTCTTCTAGCTATTTATACTCTAATATCTCCGATGTCTTTCAGTCATCCTGAAAGTCATGGACATGCAGCATGGCCTTGGAGAAAACTGGCCTGGGGAGCCAAAAAGACTTGAGTTCAGGTTCTGGTCATGTGACTCTGGACAAGTCACTTAGCCTCTCAGTAAGCTGCAAAGAAGTTGCTAATTTCCATCAGTAGGGGGAATTACTTCATTCTGTCTCAGTTCTTTCTGCCAATGAAATCACAGGTCCAGTCCCCATGCCCAGCTTTATAGTAGTTCTCCTCTTTGCTCTAACAAGTTAAGGTCTGATTGTACACAGACAAACAGACTCCCACATTAATGAGGAGTCTTCTATTGTCTATTGAAATATACCAATTTCATTTTCTCTAAGTTTATTCAGCGCTTACTACAACTAGCATCAATTGGCTCCTCTCTTGGAGAAAGTATTCATGATGGAAAGGCATGAAGTTTCTGTGTAGTAAACATGTGTCTGTCCTCTCTCATTGTTTCTTCCTGAGCTGTGTTTTCTGTGTTTCATCTTGCTCACCTTTCCTACCTTTGCATTGAAGTCACAGAGTACAAAACTGTATGTTGGTATAATTTGGATTGTCTTATCAAATTCTTTGTAGAATTTCTCCTCTTCTTCAATTTCCACACAATCATGTTAGTTCATGAGTTGTATTTGATTTCACAATGGCCTTTTTGCAAATATCATGATCACTGGAGTTTTAGATAACCAAATGTCTCACAAAATTGATGTCTTTGGGCATATGATAAAACCAACTCCACCAACTCGTTTCTTAGCTTCTCCAAGAGATGGGTTACCTGTGAGTCATCTTGCTGTTAGGATGCAAAACCTTCTTATTTCTTCTAGTTTCATTTTTATCGAGAATGTCCAGATTGGTATGATTCAGTTCCTCCTATAATATGCCTGGTTGTTGGTCATTGGACAAGGATCTCACATTTATCACATTAACAGCCAAGGTGAATAGAACAAGGTGAATATTATAGACAGTCAGTCTTAAAACTCTGCTCCTTAGTAACCACCGATACCTTTTCTCCCACTCTGTTACCATCACTGCAGAAGCAGAAGCAGGTAGAACTGAGGGACGTTTTGTATTTTTCTTTGTTTCTTGGGTTGCCATGATCAAGGAATTCATTGACAAGTGGCCAACCTACTGGTGGTCAGTTTCTCCTTATGTGGCTAGGCTGAGTTTTGGAAAGCAGACTCAGTCTATTGTCAGAACCATACTTGGAACCTTTGCAGCATGTTAGAACCTGACAGAGCTTAGGCTGTGCTGACAGAGCCCTCAAGAACCTGGGATCCTTCTATGCCATGGCTAAAATTAACCATCTCATATGATTAAGGTTTGTCTAATTATCTCAAAAAAAGAATACAACACTCCTTGGAAAGTACACAAAGACAAGTTCTGTCATATTATTATTTTTGATATATGTACCATAGAGGAGGGAAGATTACAGCAGTAAAGAAAGAATGGAAGATAAAGAAATTGGACCGAGAAATTGGCAAGAGAAGTTAAAAAAATGCCTTCCTAACCGGTGTGTGTGTGTGTGTGTGTGTGTGTGTGTGTGTGTGTGTCCCTAAGAGGGAGTTGGAAGTTTTATACATCATGCTTATACTCATGGTTTCAAATCTCAACAGCCCTGGTTTTTGTAACAAGGAAAGATATGCATTTGAATCCTGGCTCTGCCACTTGGACTATTAAGTCTGCCTACATTTCATTTAAATCTCATTGGGCCTCAGTTTCCTCATCCATACCCTGGGGATGATAATGAGGTATGACCTACCTCTTGAGGTGTTGGAAGAAAAATGCTTCATACCTTAAAGTTCTATATAAATAGTATTATTAATACGTCCTGGGGACAAAGAAGGTCCTTGGGCAGAAAATACCATTTTTGCCATTGGACTGCTTTATCCTATAACATAATCACTCCAAAGAATTTGTCACTGCCCAAAGCTAAGACTCTCATTGAGGTACTCCTTAACCTTTGGTCCTCCTCCCACTTGTTTCCCCGTATTGCACCCTGAAATAAATCACTTCATTCCAAACATTCCAAGAAATCTTATTTTCTTTATTGTTTGATTTTTTTTTTGACTCGACAATGGTTTCTTTTTTTTGGAAGTTTTTTCTTTTTTTTTTTTTGAAACGTACTCGTTGTCTTTATGAGTCTTTTGTTTTGTTCTCGTTAAATGCACTCGACCCAAAATTGGTTTGGCATATCGAAAAGGAGACCAAGGCGGGGCAGGTGGGTTGTGGGAGGACAGGAGGAGGGAAGCCCAAACGGACAGAAAGCAAGGGTGAAAAGAAGGGTAAGAGGAAGACAAGACAGATGGGAGAGACACAAAGGAGAAAGACAGACAAAAGGAGAGAGGCAGAGACAGAAAAAAGGGAAAGAAGGCAAGGAAACCAAGAAAAATGAAAATCCAGAAACTGCCTCCCACAAAATTTCAAGAGGGAAGGAACTCATGAGCCCAGGGAAAGGAGAGTAGGGGGAGGAAACCAAGAACCTTCTCTATACAGTGGGTCCTGTCCCAGCTGGGGTGGGGGTGTCAAGGCACCAGGGCTAGTTGGGGTGGGGGAACAGTTGGGTTCTCTAGGGTGGCTTGGAGCTGGGCTGCGATGGTCTCTCTATCCCCACCAGGGGGCCCTGCCATGCAGCCATGAGGCCTAGGAACCCTTCCTGTTGCTATCCCTGTCCTTGCTAGATGGGAACCTACTGACTGACTTCACCCTACCCCCATGATTGTCCATGTCTGGGGAGATAAGGGGAGGGTGGGGTGGGGGAAAGCAGGACTCCTTACATTCCGTCAGGTTCCACAGAAACCCAGGAGTTCCCAATCCCCAGCTGGTGTCATATGGCTGCCCCAACTCTGAGGCAGGAAGGGTAGGGGCCCCTCTAGGTCTTCCACCTGCCAGCTCCCTCAGCAGCCACATCCCTTTTCTCTCCTTCCCCCCTCCCAAACCAGGCTTTTCACAGCCCTCCCCCACTCAGATGGTGAATTGAGACAGAGGTCACTGGGGATAGCTCCTGCCCTAAGTCTCTCCCAAACACAGAAAGAGGGGAATGTTGTGTAGGGGAAATGGTGATGCAGGGCCTTTGGGTGGTCCTTGCCTTCCCCAACCTGACCTCACTGCCATCCAACCCAGGGGCTCCTGGTGAAGTGAATTTAGCACTTCCAACGCAGGGTCACTCTCAGTCTTATCTAGGAGAGCAAGAGATGGAGGAGACCAACCATGTTCTCCTTCTAGCTGTCCTCCCCACCCCTGCCCCCAATGTGGGACAAAGCCACCATTCTTTGGTTTGACCCCTTCTCCCCCACATGATGGGGACAAGCCAGCCCCAGCTCCCCAGGAGGAGAGAGGGGGTTTCTAGCAGCAAAAAGGATTCCCCCAAGACCCCCATCTCTCCTCCTACCACACATACTTATTCCCCAATTACTCCCTGTAGCTCCTGTCCCCCAAACCAAGAAGTTAATGGCAGCAGCAGGCTGAGACCCAAAGATGTTAGAAAACTCATGGCACTTGTGAGAAAAGTGGTAGGGGGAGGGTGTGAGGTGAAGGGAGCAGGAATGGGGAGGGGCCACCCTTTGAGGAAATGGCCACAAGGGACTCCAGGGACCAGGGCATTGTAGCAACACTGCACAGCTCGGCTGTCCCATTCCCACCCCAAGAGGCATGGAGAGGAGCCCTTAGGTGAGGATGGTGAAAAAAGGTTAGAGAGGAAAAGAGAATATAGCAGGGAGAGGCACTCATGAGCAGATTCCCCCCAAAAAACCAGCTTCTAAGAAGTGTAGGAAGTTTGGAGAAACAGCCTGGCTGAAGTGTCCTCTGATGCCTTCCCTGCTGGGGGCCTCTCAGGCTTTCCAGACAGGGCAACCTCCACCATTCCAAACCCTGACCCCAAACCCATGGACACCAAACTCCCATCTTACCCTTCCCTACTCCAGCACCTGGGGACTGGGGGCCTTTGCCTTTTTTCTTTCTTTCTTTTTTTTTTTTTTAACTCTTCCATTAGCCCCTTTAGACAGAAAAATGACACCTTTATCCCTCTGCTGGTCCTGAGGCCCAGAAGCAATTTGCAGTTAACAGAACTTAAAGAGATGGTGTAGCCACCTCAGGAAAGCATCTTTGGGTTGGAAGGGTCTCCCCTTGGCAGGGAGGGAGGGGCGAAGAAAGGAAAATGGGTCCCCATTCCTGGAGCAGGCGGCGGAACACGTGCCCCAGGAGAGACGATGCTAGGGGCTGGATTCAGAGGGAAATGACAGGAACATGGTGCCAGGAAGGAAAAAAGGTTGTGTTTCTTTTGCTTCTTGTTTTTGTTTTGTTTGTTTGTTTTTTTCTGTCTTTTGATTGTAAAAAGCTGCCATGGAGGCCCCCACTCCAACCTGGCCAGGATGCACGCACAAGCAGAGAGAAGTCTTGGCTGCTGGGTGGGTAGGTGGGTGGGTGGGCAGGTAGGTGGGGAGGTGCTCTGGTTGGTGGAGAGCCAGAGCTGGCCTGGGCTGTGGGCTCCCAGTGGCTTCAAGTGATGAGATTTTTTTTTTGTAATTTTTTTTTCTTTTCCATTTCGTTGAAATATTTACAGCAATGGGAGAGGAGGGGAAGGGTAAAGAGGCCCCCCGCTCCAGGGAGAGTTCCAGACCCAGAATCTACTCCCCAGAGATCTGAGCCCACAAAGCTGGGAACTGCCCCCCCCAAGGGGTCACCCCCATGGGCTAGGGGCCCCATGGGGGGTTGTGCTTAGTCAGGAGTCACCCTGGGGGGGTCAGTGGGTACAGTCTTGGGGGGGAGCTCAGAGCAGGCTTGCTTCCAGGGAGGGAATGAGGGGTAGTTGGCTCAGAAGAAAGTTCAGCATTTAAACCTCCAGCCGCACCCCTCAATTTCCCTGGCTTTCCCTTGGGCTAGAACCCCCAGTTTCAGAGGAGTAGGAGGATACACAGAAGGCTGTCCATCTGTCCTTGGCCCTGAAATTCTTCCTTGGGGTGAGGCCTGCAAGGTTTCTGGCTGCAGAGAGGAGCCACTGAAAGGTTTGGCAAAGTGGGGTTTTGGCAACCGCTTTACCCCTGGGCAGGGAATTCTAGGAGGGACTGTGTGCCTCCAACTTCTTGCCCATCTACCCTCAGGGGACCCTCAGCTTATCCCCACAACACTCCCCCAAAACAGCTGGTGCATGTGGCTGTCGGGAATTCCTGTGTACCCTGTACGTCAGGGACCCTGCCCCCTCAGAGTCCCCTAAAAGGGGAATGGTAGGGCCCATAGGTGAGGGGTACATATGGAGAGGACAGCCTGTCTCACACTCCGTTTAGTTCACCCTCGATCCCCCAAAGTCCTCCCCTACCCAGGGTCCCCCTCCCCTGGCACTGGGCCACCTAGCCCTCTGAGTCCATGGGGCCCCTCAGAGGCTGGTGACCAGCTGCATCTGGCCATCACCATCAGGCCCTGGCCCCTCCAGGCCCGGGGCAGCCAGGTAGCCTTCATGGCTAGGCCGTCGCACCTGGTAGTAGCCCTGCAGGGGGTTCCGGGCCACCAGGGCCGGGCGGGAGGTGTAGTAGATTTCAGGAGGACCAGGTGGGGCTGGAGGGGGTGGAGGAAGGGCCTCACTAGGCCCCTCTGGGCTACTGTCCGGGTAGGAGGGCGAGTCCCGAAGGTTGGCCCCACTGGCATAGAGCGAGTCCCGGCCAGGAGGGGAGGAGAGGGGTCGGCTGGCTGCCCCATCCTCAGCCGCACAGCTCTCTGATTCGTCCAGGTCGCTCTGATACAGCACCGACTGGGCCCGGGGCAGCAGAAGGGGCTCCTCCAGGGCCTTGTAGAGCAGTTCGATCTCAGCCCGGTCAGCCCCTCCGGGCGCCCCTGCCTCTTCATCCCCACCACTACCTGGGACTGGTGGCACCGGGGGCTCGGGGGGTGGGGGACCCTTGGCTGCCCCACTGCTACCCCTGAGGTTGTTGTGCACCAGCTCCGAGATGATCATCTTCTCAAAGGCAGCCGCATCAGCCAAGTTTCGTCCTCGCGGTGGCTCTGGACCCCCATCCCCAGGGGGGAAGTCGCCGCTTCGTAAGGAGTAGCTGTTGTTAAAATTGCCATTGAGTGGAAGGGTGTCCATACCGCATGCATCCCGGCCTCCTAGAGGGTGTTCTGTAAGACAGAGAGGCACTGGTCAGGAGGAAGGGGGCAGCCTGGATGGGAACATGGCAATGAGGAAGGAAGCATGTGAGGGAGAGGGGCTGAGCTGTTCTCTCAAAAGCTCTCTAGGACTCTTCCCATCACCCTGGGGAGTTAAGCCCTTCCCACTTCGTACCTCCTCGCCTGCAGCTGGGGACACTACTCCCTGCTCCAGCTACCTCCACCAGAGAGAACTAGCTTTTCCAGGGCCATTCAATCACTCATCAGGAATTCTCCAGGGGATCCTGAGTAGTCATAGCTAGGGGGTTTGGATGCTTAGGGATACGAGGGGCCGAGGTTGACCCTGCCTAGAGAGGAGGGCAATCCTGTATGTTCTGACCCCCACTTGAGGCCATCCCCGCCTGGCAGCAGCTACTGCCTTAGACTGTCTCCCACCTCCTGAAATATTACTGGAAAAGGGTAGGACGTACTGGGCTCCCGGTAGCTCCCTGTAGGTTTGCATGAGGAGAGAAAAGAGAGAGGTTTAGAATGAGATTGGTCCAGAGATACAATCTCCCAACTTCAAACACCCAGCAACCAATCCAGGGCTTATGGAGCCATCCCTCAAACAAAGACTTAGGTACCCCATGCCCAGTCCTCAAAAAAGGGGTCCTATTTTTCTTTTATAACAATTCAATTTTCTTTAGTGACTTAAGGTTCACAAATACTTTCCTCACGACAACTCTGAGGTAAGTATTATCATACCCATTTTATAGAAGAGGAAACTGAGGCTAAGAGACATGAAGGAACTTGTCCATGGTCACACAGTAAGTAAAAGAGCTGCATTTTGAACCCAGGCCTCCCGATTCCCAAGTCCCACACCATTTCTGCTACAATCAGCCATGCTGCCTTTCTCAGCTCTGTCCCCACAGGTAGTCCTTTTACCTGGGGAGTTGAAGACAGGGGGTGAGGAGGGGTTGAAGCCCACAGACTCAGCAATGAGGGTATTGTAGGGGCTGGTCCCACCTCGAGGCTGCAGCACAGGGTTGGTTAGCAAGTGGTTCCCCATGGTGCCTAGCAGAGGAGAGCCAGGTGTCAGAGATGAGTAAATAGTCCAGAGTCTGATGGAATTTCAGGATGAGGAAAGGAAACTGAGTCAGGAAGGGCAGCATCTCACCTCGGTTCAGTGTTGGGGTGCTGTTGATGTCTCCAGCCATGAAGGATGACTCTGTCTGCTTCCTCACAGTGTCGTTCCACATCCTTCGAATTCGGCTCTAGGAACCCAACAACACGGGGCATGGGAGAGGGCTCGTGCCCCCAGTGCCTAGGCTGATTGACCCTTCTGTGACAAGGCTAACCCCTGACCTCCCTTTCCTTGATGGATGTCCTCAGCATCACTAGCCCTGCCACTGGGCAGTCCTCCCAGCCCTGATGGAGCCCGTCAGCCCCCGCAGCAGCCCTAGGTACCTGGGTCCCCGTATAGTAGCGGTTGTTGCTGCGCATGGCAGAGGTCTTGAGGGAGCCATGCGTGCCTCCAGGGGGTGGTCGGATGCAGCAGTAGGAGTGGCGCAGGCATTTGCTATACTCCTTGTGCACCTGAGGGTGGGTGAAGGAGGAAGCAGCAGGTGGGTCAGGCAGAGTGGAAGGAGTAGGGCTGACTCACTCTGCCCCCAAAGCCAGGTTACAGGGGAGAGGAGGGAAAGGCCCTCCGGGGAGTGGAACCCAGAGGGCAGAGAGCTGGGGCAACACCCCTCTTACCTTCTTCTGCAGAGCGCAGTGAAAGACAAAGATGAAGACCCCCTGGAAAGCATTGAAGGTGGTGAAGAGATAGGCCATGACCACCGATTCCTTGTTGATGAAGAGGAGGCCAAAGGCCCAGGTGAGACCCAGTAGGAAGAGGAGGGCAATGGCCCCCAGGGCCCAAGACCTGTAAGGTGAGGGTGAGGCAGAGAAAAAGCACCTGAGTCATCCCCTAGGCCTCAGCCTCTTGGAGGAAGCCAAGATTCCAGAGCAGAGGAGCAGCTTAGGTTAAGCTGGAGGGTGTAGATGAAAGGTTGGGGGGGGGAGCCTACAGATAGGAGGGAACCATCCCTCAAGCTATCCAACTCCAGCACAGTCACCCTAGGCTTCTGCCTCCTCCAAGTTATCATTTCAGCCGGCAATAGGTCAACAGGGTCCTCAGCCAGGCTGAGTTCAGGGTCTGGAATGGGCAGTCAGTCCCCGGGGCTGAAGCTGGAACTGGGGGCTCCTGGGAGGGGGGGCCAAGGTCCTCAAATGGTCACCTACTTGATGTTGTCCAGACGGCTAGAGTCAGGCTTGAGCACGGAGGAGCTACGGATCATCTTGTGAAGTGTCACCATGAGGAACACCAGGTTCACCTGAGAAATGAGGAAAGGGACAAGGACACAGTGGACGGTGGGGTAGGCTACTTGGCTTGGCATGACTTGTCTTCAACATGATGCTCTTAGGACTTTGGTTAGGTCTGGTCCGAGACTGTTGAATGCTGAAGGGAGAACCTTGTTGTCTGACACTGGAAATGTGCTCTCACTCCATTATGGCTACCCAGACGGTAGCCTGGGGCTGTTTGGGTTTTCCATTCCAATTGGAAGGATCAACCAAAGCAGCTTCACTTGTGTCTACACACACACACACACACACACACACACACACACACATACACACACACCAGATTTGGGAGTCAGACAACCCATGTTTGAATTCTGGCTCTGCTACTTACTGCCTGTATGACCTTGGGCAAGTATTTAATCTTTCTGAGCCTCAGTTTTTCCATCTGTAAAATGAGGGGGCTGGTCTAAAGAATTTCTAAATTCTTGTCTAGCTTCGCAGGAGGGTGAGACTAGAAACTACCCACTGTATGGGGAAGATTAGAAACCATCCTTCCTTTGGGGATACCAGACATCATAATTAGGCAGGAGAAGATTGAACACCACCATTATGTGGTGAAGAGAGGATGAGTTCCATTTCTTAGGTCTTAAAAAAGGCAGGGCAGAACAGGGTACAGAAATTTTCCTCTTTTTCAAATTTTGGGATAAGCCCCTCAAGAATGATTAGAAGAGTTAGGGAGTGAAGAGCACTGCATTTCAAGGGGGCCTGATGAATTTGGGGCCTTCTCCTCTGACTCACCACAATGACAAACGAGACAGGGCCGATGAAACTCCAGATGAAATAATTGTCCACTCGGAGCCAGCAGCTGTCAGACGGATAGAGGATAAGGTAGAGATGGGAAGGGGGAAGGAAGGACAATAAGCATTTATATAGCGATAAGCACATAGAGCCTATGTTCCAAGTACTGTGCTAAGCATTTTACAAACATTATCTCATTTGAGAGAAGGACCCAGGGGACCATATAGCTTCACCTCCACCACCAACAGGACTCCCCATTTTGTCCCTGGGGGGCTGATTCTGCTTAGTGGGGTTTCTGTGGAGTCAAGAGGGTGTGCCCTAGTCCCTGAATGGTCCCATCCCATGGGCTAGTGCTATCTAGGGGTTTAGGAGAGCAGATGCCAGAGAGATAAAGAGAAGAGCAAATACTCACGCCTTCTCTGTGCCATAGCTTCGATAGTCGATGGCGGCAGCGATGCCCACAACCAGGGCTGGGAAGCAGTAGCCTCCCAGGTAGTAGTATTTGGTGCGTGAGTACTCGCTCTCAAACACCTCCACCAACAGCAAGTAGAGATGCACGCCCTCCAGGCACAGCCAAGAGAAGGCTGCCAGGAAGAAGTAATGCAGCAGCCCCGCAAAGATGGGGCAGGCGATCTAGGGGCACAGGCACCAGGCATGAGGGGGAATGGCCCTCCCCAGGCCAGCCCTCCTGCCATGCGCCCAACCCAGCTGGGCCCCTGAGCCCTATCGCCCAACCCCCTTGAAGCTGGAGAGGCCCAATGTTGGCACGCGTTGGACATGGCAAGCTCCGATCCTCTCCTCAGTAAGGGAAATAAGCCTGCCCTATCCCCGTGGGCATCAGGCTCCCTGCCCCCTGACTTACCTCGTATTGGGTCTTGTCAATACCAACAAGGAAGAGCAGCTCAGCCAGGAAGAGGTTGATGCAAAGATTCTTATGGATGGTGTTTCGGTCAGTCTGTAGCCCCCGAAGGAAGCAGAAGGTGGAGATGCAGATAGCCAGGCAGACAAGGGAGATCACGATGCCCACCCAAGTGATGACAGACAGCAGCAGCTCATTGATCCGACCTTGGTACTGGGGAGAAATCAGGAAGGGCAGTCTTAGGATCTGCGACCTAACCTCGACTCAACCAGGGCACTATTTGTAGGCAATTGCTAAGGACGTCATGGGCCTCACTGGACCACCCATCTGGACCTTTTGCCCCTTCACCAGCTGACTGGTTCCCACCCTCTTGTGGATGGTATGCCCCCTTCCCCCATGCTCTTGAATGCCCATGGAGAAGTAATGAAACTAGTGCTTCCCTCTCAATGTCTGGGGAGAAGGAGGCAATTGAGATAGAGCCAGGAAAAGCAGCCCTTTCCCCTTCTCATTTCTACTTGCTCCAGCCCCATGCCCTGAGCAAGGGAGTATTGATGGCTCCCTATGTCCAGGAAGTTGGGATTCCCTTGGCATGCCTCATGTTGTAACACCATGCAAAGCCAGGCTAACAAGCAGGCCCTGGCCCAGTGGAGCTGATGGAGCCACTGGCTTACGATCTCACGGTGAGCCATGAGCACGGCAAAGTTAGTGAGGTGGCTGCAGGCACAGGTGGTATGGGTCTTGTTGGAATCCACCAGACGACAGCCCTGGGTCGACCAGTAGCCCAGCATGGAACGCTCTGAGTAGTTCCAGAAGGAGCAGTTGGCATTGAAGTGGTTCTTGGCCTGTTGTGTGGTGGTAGTTGGGGGGGGTGTCAGAGTATTACAGTGAGAGGCATCAGATCTGTGGAGTCCTCTCCAACCCCTCACCCCCACCAGGCTGCAGCACAGCCTCAGACCCAGACACAACCATTGGATAAGTGCCATGGGGTGGGGGTGAAACATACAGGTCAGGGGCTTTTCAAATAAGAATAAAGATAAGGACTTAGCACTCCATGCAAAGTAGGAGGCACTATAGTGAAAAAAACAACACTGAGCTAAGAAAGAGTCTGGAGTCTTGGGTTCAAACCTCAAATCTAGCTCAAAAAAGCTATGTGACCTTGGTGAGCAAGTCACAATGTCACTGAGCTTCAACGTCCCCATATGTAAAAATGAGGGAATTGCAACAAGGAAGGAGAAAGATTCCCTTCAAGTTCAAAAATTCAATGATCAATGATCAATGATTGATTCAATGATCAAAAGGTTTAAAAGGACCCTGCCTGGAGCGAGGAGCACCAAGTACTAGCAATCAGGAGCTATAAAGTAGGGATAGGAACCCTGACAGTTTCCTTGAAGTGCTCTCAGTGCTGGGGAATATGATAAGCTCATAACTGGGGATGTAGTCCAGTAAGTTCTGCCCTACCCATCCTCCCCTCCCCCAGACAGAGGACAAAATGGGGCCCCTGGGAGGATGTGCTCTCCACAGGCAAGGCTCCTCAGAATCATCCTGAGGAAATGGATGTTGTGAGGGCAGGACCAGGTCGATTTCCAGGGCTTACCTCTAGGTGGGCCACAGTGAAGATGACAGGGTCCATGAGGAACACACGGCTAGATTCTTTGTTGATGGAGGCTGCAATGACTTGAGAGTTCACCACTAACGCAGCTCCCCCGGGGCCCCCGGAGCCTGCCTCACCTGCCAGCTTCACTGTGGCATTCTCCGTGGACAGGAAGAGGCCCAGATTGTTATAAAGGATGAAGACAACTTTCACCACCCCTGGAATAGAAAGTGTGGTGAGGGCCATCAGCACCCGGTTCAAATACTTGCTCCAATGTTTACTATTTCTTCCCTGTGTGACCTTGGGCAAATCTCTTCCCTTTAGTCCTTCATGTCCTCAATTGTAAATTGACAGGGTTAGACCAGATCAGGAATTTTTTTTGTATGTTTGTTTTTTTTTTAAACTTTTATTGTACCATGGGTTCCTCTGGCATTGAAGCCCTCTGGTGAAGTCTATGGACCCCTTATCAGAATAATGTATTTAAATGCTTAAAATAAAATACTTCAGATTACAAAAGAAACCAATTATATGGAAATACAGTTTTCAGAATTAGAAAAAAAAATTTACAGTCACCCACCCACCCCAGGTTAAGAACCCTTGGCCTAGATGACTTCTAAGATCTTTTCCAGATCTAACTCACTGACTCACAGTACTGGAGAAACGGAAGAGACCTCTAGTCCAACTCATACATGAAAAGGACTTCCACTATAGCCTGCCAAAGAAGTGCTTGAGAAGCCTTTGCCTGAAGATCCAGAATGAAGGAAAACCCATTACATCCCAGCACAGCCTATTCTACTCTGGGACAGCTCCATTTTTCAATCAGTTTTTCTTGACATCAAACCTGAATTTGTTTTTTTGCAACTTTTCCCATCCATTGCTCCTGTCTCTGCTCTCTAGGGCCAAATAGGGCACGTCTAATCCCTCTTCCACTTAAAGAGAGAGTCAGCAACCTGAAAATAATGACTATGCCCCCAATTTTATTCTCCAGGCTAAATGCCCCTAATACTTCTATGGCGTAAATTTGAGGCCCTTTGCCATTCTGGTTACCCTCCTTTGGATGCTTTCCAGCTTATCCACATCCTCTCTACATGGACTACAGGACCACAATGCTCCAGATGTGGTCTGACCAACCTGGATAGAGTAGGGTGGCACAAACACCTCATTATTCCTGGAATCTTAAAGAATGACTTCTGGCGCCCCACCCTGGAGAGGACCCCATTCACTCTGTCCCCTCTGGTTTTTGAGATACCTCTCAGCTCCCACAATGAAGCTGAGTGCTGGGGTATTACTAGAGCAATATATTCTCGAATGGGTTCCCTTCCTTCCCCTTCCCTCCTATGGTACTGACCGTTACGGCTGTTCTGCTTGATGGTGTTGGCAGAAAGTTGGATAGAGTTTTCACTGGGGTACTCCTGGGGGAACACCAGTTCTTGTACCTGACCCTCGGTATTCAGCACAGTAACTTCAAGCACTGTGGAGGGATATAGAAGTGCCTGAGTGCATTTGGCTCTGGTCTCTACCATTCAGGGGTCTAAAGAAGGAAACTTATGGCAAGAGGCTGGGAGCTGTCCTTCCCTTATGGTCTAAAGTCTTCTTATCCATGCACAAGTCCCTTCCATTCTAGACAGGTTCCCAGGTTTGTCACTGGAACCAAAGCACATGCCCAGGTGGGATGCTGGGTTCTAGGCATGTTTTGGGGATAGGTCTACATAACCTAGTTAGCTCTTCATGTCCTGGGGCAAGCAAACCTTGGTTTCCTGGTGTGGCCTTGGGGTGATTACTCACCTACATTCTGCTTCGCAGTGAGGAATCGAGCTGGTTCTTTGACATTGTCAGCTAGCAGGAAGGCCCCCTCCTCCAGGATGTCCAGCAGCATGGTGGCCGTGTGCACTTGTTCTGTGGCATTCATGTCTTTCCATGACTCCAGGGCCTCTGGGCGAAGCAGGTTATCCACTGTCTCCACTACCGCCTATGGGGGTGAGGTAAGACTAAGAGTGCTCTAGCCTGACCACCCCAGCTCCACTTTCCCTCCAAAGTCCACAAGGCCCCCTTCCAGCCCTCTGTTCATGCTTGGCCTTGCCTGTCCTGGTCCCTAATGCCCCCTGGTGTCCACATCCCTTAGCCCTAGTTGGGGCACTGTTTCCATCTCACCTTGATATAGTCCTTGCAGGTCCTTTCTCGCTTGTGCATCTAGAGCAGCAGAGAGAAGATGTCAGACTCAGAACCCTAATATCCATGCTGGCCTCCCAACCCCATTCTGTCTCAGCTGGAATCCTAAGGGTCCCATTGTCACCTGTGTCACCAGCTTATCCTAACTGCCAGCCAAATATCTAGCACAAGTGGCTTCCAAGGTGAGCCCAGCATCTAATTTCAGTTCTTCCTGACCTCACAAGATGGCTCAGGTGTTACTAAACCTCAGCCTTTATGCTTCTTGTTTCCTTTTTCAATCAGGGGAGTTGTGAAGGTGTGCCTCAGAAGGGGGATGCAGAATTGGGAGGCACACACAGCTCAGAGGCTCCACAATGGCTGACACCCAGGTCCCACTAGAGGATCTTTTTTTTTTCCCCTCGAGACATAGGCACAGGGGATGCTTTCAGTTTCCCAAACTGTCCCAGGATGCCCACGAGCAGGCCCACCTTGTTGTAGTTCTTGCCAGCTGACTCACGCTCGATGGGCCGGAGAGCCTGCAGCTGGGCATCCAGGATGTCCAGCAGCTGCTCCATTAGCTTCACTGATGATGAGACATCCCCAGCGTAGATAGAACCCCGGGTATGGCGGGCCAGCTCACTGGCAATGTTGGCTGCATTCTCACCACTCTTGATCTGGAGGCAGGAATCCTGTACCATGACTATTTCCTTCTATATTTCCCCCTTCACTCCCAGCTCTTATCGAACTTCTCCCTGCCCAGATTCTATCCTTGCAGCCCCGACAATGGTCAGCTTTTCTACTCTAGTTCCTCACTCACTCCCCTGCCCAGCCCCTCTTTCTATTTCTCCTCAGTAACCTAGGAACTCCCTCTCACTTTCATCTCCCATCAGACCCTTCCATCCCCATGACCCAGCACCTCAAGGTGTGATAGAGTAGGGGGAAGTACTGGTACCTTCTGGGCCACTTGGTTGACCCAGGGGGAAGTACAGTTGCTGAGGTCCGGGCCTCGGGGGTTCCAGAGCCCCAGGGCTGGTAGACACTGGAAGGAAGCAATTCCTACAAAGATGAACAAAGACAGGAGACAAATGGGAGAGGAGAATGAGTAGGAGAGAAAAAATAAATGAGAGAAAGACAGATAAGTGAGGAGGTAGTGATAAGAAAGAAAATGAGAGAGGGTCAAAAGATGAGAGAGCAGGAGAGACCAAGATAAGGTTTGGGAACAAATGGATAGGAAGAGACAGGAGAAGGGAAAACGGAAAGACAGAGATGAGTAAGAGGGCCAGAGGGCCAAAGTTGTGGGAAGCAGATGGACAGTCTACCCTTTCCACTTCCCTTAATCCCCACTGTTCCTTGCCCTCTACCCCATGAGACTCATGGTCTGTTCTTTTTAAGCCTAGGGAGAGCACTTTCTACTCTTCCACGGCAAGAATTAGCAATCACCACCCATCCACCTTGGAAGGGGAAGAAGTCACTCTAGCATCCAGAACTCACTCACCTCGTGTGCCCTTGGGGCAAGGCCTTTCTACCAACATGCCTTGCTGGGTGGCTGGCCATTGGACCCTCCGAACCTCCCGGGGCTCACAGAACAGCTCAGGTGACACGTGCAGATTCGGGGCCGGGGGTCTTCGAGTGCTAGGAGCCGGGGCTGTGGCAGGTGGCACATCAGGCCCCAGCTGATTGATGGCACCCACAGGGTGAGTAGTGAGGGGGGCTCGCCGGAGAGGTGTGGTAGCAGCGGGTGAGGCTGTGCTTGTCAGCGGGGTGGGTCGGGCTGTGGTTGTCGTGCTGAGGGGAGGTGAAGTGGCTGGGCCTATTTTGTAGTGGGGTGATAGAGAAAGTATTAGAGGTGGACCTTTCTGAGCCCTCTCCCCCATCCTCAGACACATCACACCCTGGTATCCTGAATCACCCCACTCTCGACCATCTTGTTACTACGTCTCCTGATAAGGGCAGGAAATGTTCTGGCCCCTGAGGATCCCTACTCCCCTCCAGGTTTCGTGTAGCCAGCCTTTCCACAACCTCAGCACAACAGTTAGGACAGGTCTTACCCAGACATACAGCATAGATTCGAGGCCCTTCGCTATTCTGGTTACCCTCCTTGGGACGCTCCAGTTTATCCACATCCTCCCTGAATGTAGTGCCCAGGACCACAATACTCCAGGTGTGGTCTGACCAACCAGGATAGAGTAGGGTGGCACAATCACCGCATTATTCCTGGAATCTAACGAATGACTTCTGGAGCCCCACCCTGGAGATGGACCCCAAGGTCGCTGTCAGGCCATGTGGAAAAAGCACTTTTTTTAGAGTCAGGAGACAAGTTCAAATCCTGGCTCTTCTATTTAATATGACTTTGGGCAAGTCATTCAACCTGAGCCTCAGCTACCTTATCTACGAAAAGAGGGAGTTGAACCAGATGATCTCTAAGGTCCCTTTTCTAGAAATCTATCCTACCCTTAAGATGGGGGCGGTATTGAGAATGAAGTCAAAGATGATCATTCCTGAGTCTAAGACCAAAGGAGTGTCAATGGCCATCCCTGGGTCAGAGGTCGTCCTTACCAGCACTGGGGTCTGGTGGTCCAAACTCAAGACCGTAGCGCACCACAAAGTAGTTGTTCCACACGTAAAGTTGGTTGTCACGGGGATTGTAATCAACTGAGGAGACAAACTGGTAAGGGTTGGGAAATGCCAGGCTGACGGGCTCTTCTCGGTTGGCATTGGTGTTGAAGGCGTAGTCGACTCGGTTGCCAGCAGCCTCACTGTCGTCATCCACATACACCGAACGCAGCACGTAGAGGACGCCACAAACCATGAACGCATTAGAGGCTGATCGCTTGTCATAGCCTGTTTCCCAAGTACCCTCAAAGCGAAGGGTGTAGGGATTGAGCTGGCTTACCACCAACCGCCCATTGTTGCTTTCTGTGGCATAAATGACCCACAGCCCATTCTCATCCACTGCAAGGTCAATATCTGTCTTGCCCCCCCAACGATAGGGTGAGGTATCATGGTAGTTAGCAGTGTTGATCACCGTCTCCCCACTCTTGATACGCGTCCGTAGGTCGTACTTGACAATGTTTCGAGTTCGTTCCTTATTGTAGAAGACAGCACCATCATAGACCACAAAGCCTGTGCCGTCCACACGATTGGGCAGGCGGTAGGTGGTGGTGTGGCGGGCGGCCACGTAATCCTCCCATGATGCATATTCGGTCAGCGTGTCTGTTCGGTAGGGGATCCAGGGCATCACATAGATGCGGTCCCCAGCTTGTAGTGGGTCCTTGCACCATGCCCCTGATTGGTGCTCTGACTCATGTGTAGATGTGGCCTCCAATACCTTCTGAAGAGTTCCAGGGCACACGAAGACTGGGCCAGGGGCAGGCAGGATAGGGGAGGTAAGGGGGTAGAGAGAAGGCACAGGGAGACAGAAAGAGAGAGAGAGAGAGAGAGAGAGAGAGAGAGAGAGAGAGAGGAGAAAGGAGGAATCGATCATAGGAGGCCAGGTTAAAAAGCAGGTCTCCCCTCCTGCAGCTGCAGTCACGGTTGCTTGGTGGGACTGGTGATGGGAAAGGAGTATCTGGGGTGGGGATGGGGCACCTCCCTTGCTGTTCCCTGCCCTGGAGAGGTTACCTCTGGAAGCTGAGAGTGGTAAGTCAAGACCTGGTTAGTATGTGGGAACATAACCCTTCTTTTTCATATGTGGCAGATAAGAGACTGCACTGGCCAGGGATAAAGGGTTTGCTTTGACACCTCCCCGAAGTGTTCATAGAATAACTTAATTGGGGGCATAGTGATATCCCCTTGATTTTTTTTTACCAACTCCCCACTTTGTGCCTCTATTTTTCTCCTTCAGGAAGTCAATCAGTATTCCTTTGTTTCCATGGATGTATTTGGAAGACCCACACACTCTCCTCCACTGGGAGACAGACTGTACCCCACTTTCTCTGCCTGGAAAACTTGAAGGGCTTTTGGGCTTCCACACCAGTGGTGTTGCTGAGAGACTCCCCCACACCACTGGCACTGTCTAGGGTCCTCCCCAACCAGAGGTGGGTGTTAAGGGATCCCCCCACACCACTGGTGGTGTTGAGGGTTCCTTCTCACCAGTAGTACTGTCAAGGCCTCGCCCCACCAGGGGGGAGGGGAAGGGGTATCAGCTCTTCCAGTGATGGTTATAATGATGTTGATGATGGTGGTGATGATGATGAAGCCCAGTCTTCCCCCACACAATAAAGAGCAAGGAAGAGGTTTCCCAGGGGCAAGTTCCAGCCTGGGATTGGGGGGTGGAGGGGCGGCTCCCCTCACCCTCTTGCTGGTAGGGTTTCTCTAGGGGGTCACTACACGATCAATTCAGCAACAGACACTGGCACTCGTGCACATGGGGGAAGGACTGGCGTGGGGACGGAGAGAGGAGGCAGGGAGAGGATGGGGGAAGGGCAAAGGACAGCTATGCGGCGGAGAAGAGAGACAAGGAAGGGGAGGGGGCGGCGGCGCCAATCCTGGGTCCGAGGCGAGCCCGAGCGAGCCTGGGGAGAAAAGGTTAATAATGCTGGCGGAAGGAGAGAGAGAGAGAAAGAGAGAGAGAGGCTGGATAGGGGCGAGCAGAGAATTCACTCCAGAATCCAGGCCCGCCCAGGATTACTCGGGTGCAATCCCAGGTCCGGCCAGGAGGGGACGAGGGAGGGAACGAGAATCTAGGATGAAGATAGGGCCCCCCCCAACCACCGGCCTCCCTCTCCCTCCCCCGCCCCCCGATTTACCTGCGGCCGTCCCGGGCTCGGGAAGAGGGATCAAGGCAGCGTTGGTGTCAGAAAGGTGGGGGCCCCGCCCCACCCCCCCCATTCCCTGAAAAGGAGGAAAACCTCGACTGCATCTCTGTGTCCAGCTCTGCCCTGCCCCTCCCTTCTCACCACCCGAGGGCTAGACTGAAGCTAATTTAGCCTCTCCCCAACACACAATGGTGGTCCAGACTCCTGTTAATGATGGGGGCCAGTTCCCCCCCCCCCCGCCTTCCCCCCCCACCCAGACATGGGCGGCTTCAGTTTCTCAGCTTTCCCGCAATTTCTAGTCTCACCCCCATTTAAAAAAAGCTCAGTCACAAGGTCATAATTATTATAATTTTTGGATTGTAGAATTTAGAATTGGAAGAAAGCCTCTAGTCCAGGGGTTCTTAACCTGGGGTCTGCAGACCCTCAAGGGGCAGGGCCTAGGGATAGATTTCAGGAGGTCTGTGAACTTGGATGGGGGAAAAATGACATCTTTATTTTCCCTAATGCCTATGATTCTAGAAGAAAAAACGGACATTCTGAGAAGGGCTTTGTAGGTTTGGCCAGACTGCCAAAGGGGTCCAACACCTGTGAGCTCCTGCTCTAATCCAGATATTTGACAGAGGAGGAGAATGAGAACCAGTAAGGTTAAGGCACTTGCCCAAGGTCATGCCAATAGGAAGTAGTGGATCAAAAATTCAAATTCAAGTGTTCTGACCCCAGTTTCTGTATGCTTTCCACTAACCCCACAATGCTTCTCCCCAATAATGTGTAGTTTTTCTTTTATGCAGGATAATTCCCATTCTCCCTCTCATAGAATAGGTTTTAATTTGCCCCTGAACCACAATATACTTCTAGTATTCCCCACCATACAACTGAAGCTGGTCTGTATTATCTGCCTCATTTCAGGGACTACAGGCATTGAACACAACATGGTTGTGTGGTTCTGGAAGACTCATCCCTCCAGAGTCTCTGCCCCACCTGAAACCAAGGCCATGAGGGAGAGGAAGAGGCACAGGGAGCTGGGGTCCCGGGGTCTGAAGTGAATTCTCTGCTTTCACTCAGCTCCTTTCTGAAGCTGCTAGCCTAGTGGGCACAGGGGAGGGAAGGGAGTGTCTCAGAGCCCCTCTTGGACATTGACCTGAAGGGATAGCAGCAGGTAAGCCAATGCCTCTCAGGTGTCCTAGTTAACTTGGGGAGTTCATGGGTGAGACCCACAGAATTTGCCTAGGGTCCATACTGGGGAGGCTTCCCCCACTTCCCCAGCTTCTTGGAGATCCTTAGAGGGCCCCAAAGCATGAAGCAGGCAGAAGCTTCTCCCATGTAAAGGGTGAGGGGAAACTGAGGCACAAAGGTAGTGAAAGAACCTAGAAAACTTACCATCCAATAGGCTCTGCTTCCTTTCAGAGTGGGAATTCCCTGGAACCCGTGGAGGGTTCTGAGTGACTCCATAGGCATTCCCTCAAGGGGATTTTGGCTCAGTTTAAGAGATTGGCTCTGGGAAGGGACATAGGTACACACCAAAGGTCCCAGGGCCCTTCATCCATCCATCTGTCCATTTGTATCTATATCCTTCTGTCCCCACCACTCAGGACTTCTGCCAGACAATTCTGGCATACATACTTTAGGTTCTTTGCCCATCCTATTCTGGTATTAGCTCACTTGACTCAGGCCATCTCAAGTTGAGAGGGATGACTCCTTCCCCTAACCCCTTGTGCCTTAGTTTTCCCCTTTATCCATGCTGGGCTTTCTCTGCCAGGTGAGTGGGGGTTGGTGTGTATGTGGTATGGTGGTGGTGGTGGTGGTGGTGGTGGTGGTTGGGACAACACAGGGTCTTGGAGCCTGACCTGGCAGAGGGGGAAGGAAGAATAAATTGTTAGCAATAATATTGGGGGGGGGGAAGGGAGGGAAGAGCAGGGTCTGTGTTCATGGGTTTGGCCCTTAACCACAACCAGCACGTGGTTGTCCCTATGGGTGTGTCCACCCAGCAATATGTCACCCTTCCCCAAAACCAGGAGAGAGAATAATCCAGAGCCGGTGTGTCCAAGTTGTGCCTGCAAGGAGAGCGTCGGGGGTGCCAGGAGGAAGACAGACTCAAGGAAAGAGAAAGGGATGAGAGAAGAGGGATGGGGGTGGGGGCAGGGACCCAGGAGGGCTGACTGCCCAGGTCTCCTACAGGAAGGGGAGGGGTAGGGAGGGAGAACAGCTCAGCAATATCCCCCTTCCTCATAACAGGGATACTCCATGTACCGTAATTTCAGGGCCAGAAGGGATACTAATACCCAGCTCTTGCAGGTGGCACCTTAATGCATTCCGGATTTGCCATTTGTAAAACTCCGAGGAAGAGAGTCACTGTTTGCCCTCCCCCTCCCCTGCCCCAACCCAATGTCTTTAAAAGAAACCTGAGGTCAGGACTCTGGCCTGCCCATAACGGGCACTCCACCAATCTCTTTTCCCTAGTGGAGGATAGTCTTTATAGGCTTGAAATTACGGTACTCCTGGAAGCGCCCCTCCCCCCAAGCCCCCACTAACCACAACAGCCCAGAAGAAACCCTGACTGCAGCTTGGCAAATATGGAAAAAATAGAGAAAGTCCCACCCCACTCCCAGACCGTACACACACACTTCCAAGCCCCTCCCC